AGAAGAGTGGAAATAGAAGTAGCACGGACATCAATACTACTAAGAGATCAGATCAGAAGTAATTGACAAAGTATGTACTCGGTTATGTATAGAGTGTTGGCATGTAATAAGTGTTAATTATGAATACTCAGATCGATTTTGTATTTTATGGTTTTATGTAAATTAATGTATTTCATTTTAATGAAAGTTTTAAAAATTCCCGTGATTTTCTATAAGAGTCAAAGCATGAAAAGTCAATGTGACACATCGGACTTGTATTCGGGTCGGATATGAGTTAAGGGTGTTACATTTAATGGTATCAGAGCTACGGTTTAGTCGATTCTCGGCATAAACCGAAGTCTAGAGTGTTTTATAAGGTATACATGCCAACAAAATAGTGAAAACTTCTGATCTGATGGAATAGTAAGTATGTTGTTTTGCTAATAGAACTATATGGTTGTATTTTTATAGATGTCTGGACAAGGTAGTTCTAGGAATGAAGCGGAAAATGATAGACCCGCTGAAAGCATTGATTCACCTGCCCTGGCCAGGCAGAGTGAAGAACAGACACTCTCTGGAGTGCCTGTGAATGATCAAGATGTATTCTTTAGAACGTTAAACGCGGTATTAACGCGTTTCCAATCTCCTGTTATTTCAACTCCGAAAATGAATGTTGTGAAAGAGTTGAAGAGATTAGGAGCTCCTGAATTCAAAGGTGAAGCTGAGGAAGGTCCTGTTGCTGCAGACCTTTGGCTCAATGATGTGAAAATTATGTTAGATGGACTCCACTGTTCTGATGAGGAGAAATTAAATGGAGTGGTCTCCTTACTTCGTGGGCAAGCGAGAATTTGGTGGACGAACGTCACTCTGAGAATGACAAGTGACCAAGTGACCTGGTCTTTGTTATTAAAAGAGTTCAAACACAAGTATATAGGAGATCAGTTTATCAGGCAAATGAAGCAAAAATTCTTAAATCTGAAGCAATGGGATTTCACTGTATATGAATATGAGTGTGAATTTAACAAGTTAAGTCGTTTTGCGGCCGAGTTAATTCCGACAGAGAAGGATTCGTGCGAGTGGTTTGTTGAGGGTTTGCACCCAAGGTTAAAGGAGATACTAATAATGTTGAACTTGTCCTCGTTTCAAGAAGTAGTAAATCGTGCTAAAGCTCTAGAGAGAGTTCAAAATGAAAGGTATGGGAATCAAAGAACTCAACCATCTAAAAGAATTGGGGCTTCATCAAGTTTTGCACTACCCAAGAGAGATAGAGATTCTAGTTTCCAATATCAAGCACAATCAGAGTCGATGGCATCCGTTGCAAGGGAACCAAATCAGGTGAGAGCTAAACAGACTCATTCTGTCGGGTCTGGTGATGGGAGAACACAACATAGTCAAGTTAGACAATGTCAGATTTGTGGAAGAACTCATAGCGGGATATGCAGAGTTAAAACAGTGGCTTGTTTCCGATGTGGGGAAACAGGACATTTCAAGAGAGATTGTCCTTTGAGGGCCGGAGAACTGGTTCTTCCGGAGAGATATGTTTCAATATCTCAGAGGGGACGAGGTAGAGAAAGAAACAGAAGTCAACCTGAATTCTCTACTCAACAGGAAATACGCTCTACTGCTCGAATGTATAATCTCAAGACAAATGAAGATTTTGATGATCCGGAGATAATAGCAGGTACCATTTACTATATAATAAATGAGTTGAATAATAAAGTGGTATGATAGTAAGAGTAATTAAGTTAAAAGAATGTGAGAACATAAAGGAAAAAGGTAAAGGAATGATTAAAGTAATGAAGTGAAGTTGTGATAGCACGAAAGAATTATTGAAGAGGTAATATGGGAAAAAGAATAGTGGATGTGTAGGCAGTATCTTATCTTCTTGTGCAATGAAAATTCGAGGACGAATTTTCTTAAGGGAGTGAGAGTTGTAACATCCCAAACTATGGGTTAGTGACTTATTTGTAAAGTTTCAGAATATTGTGATTAAAATAGAAGAATGGATTAGTTTAATGATTTATCTGGAGATAAATCCTAAAAGTTTTAATAATTATTGAATGAATTAATGGGTAAAACGATCTTTTTATCTAAAAGATAATTATCTTATCTCTTTATTAAGAGATAAGCATGTAGGGAGATATTTCTCCAGAACTTCTCCTTCTCCTTCCTCTCCTCTCGTATCCCCAAGCTCAAAGGTGAGTCTTCTAGTTAGTTAATTATTTGTTAATTTTAAGAGTGGGTTTTGATCATTAGATGATAACTAAGCATGTAGGGTTTTCCTCTCCTAAAAAGTGTTGACATGTAATAAGTGTTAATTACGAATACTCAGATCGATTTTGTATTTTATAGTTTTATGTAAATTAATGTATTTCATTTTAATGAAAGTTTTAAAAATTTCCGTGATTTTCTATAAGAGTCAAAGCATGAAAAGTCAATGTGACACCTCGGACTTGTATTCGGATCGGATATGAGTTAAGGGTGTTACACCTACTGTCATCAATGTCCCGGCTTCTTCTCTTGTAACGCCTACTGTCATCAATGTCCCTTTTATCCATGTACATTGACCTTCGATCATAATCATGCCTTCGTTCCCTCTCCCTTTCTCTATTACGATCACGGTCACGATCTCGATACCTGCTTCTGTCACGTTGCCTATCACGGTCACGGTCACGGTCACGATCCTGATCTTGATCCCTGTCCCTCTCTCTTTCCCTATCCCTATCCTTTTGTGATTCCAATCCCCATCCATGTCAGAATATTCTCTATCACGGCTTTGGCTGCGACGGTGGCTGGGAGATCTTCCATCGTCACCATTGGATCTTTCATAAGGTGGTGGGGGTAGAGTGAGAAGCACAGGAGAGGAGTCCCTCGATGGTGCCCGATGGGGGGTTCGCTGACCAAAAGAGACTGAAAGTGCAGCTTTATAGAGGGTGGACGGCAAGCAGTATCATCAGATCCATGACGACTATTATTCTCAGTTGAATCAGATATTTTAGTAGGCAGCTTCATCTTCTCAAGATGGGATACTACCTGACGCAAAACAGGAACATGGATTCGGGGGAAAAGAGTATCGAAGTAGTACTGCAACAAGAAAATCAGCATCAACTTTTTTTTCCCACTACAAAAAAACAAAATCAAGCAAAACATGACAAGTCCAAAATAAGTCTAGAAACAATCGACATATATTGTTCATCTTTGACATAAAAATCAAGACAAAATGACCACAAGGATGTCAGACGAATAAATGTGGCATTCAACTCAACCAAGGAAAAACTCTAAGAATACTGAGCTTACAATAGTACACTTGTAAGGAGAAGATAAACGGGAAATACTCAACTTACTGCTCTAATGTAAGGAGAATCAGAGTGCTTCAGTAGCCCCTGCATTTGCTTGACGGTAAGTTTCATGGTGAAAAACTTGTAAAGAAGGCAGAATGCAGTAGAAGGACCTCGATAGTTCCCAGTCATCCACGGCTCAACATGATCAACTTGATTATAGATTTCATCGATGACTTCATGGTAAGTCTTTAATCGGTAAAGCTCTTTGAAATAATCAGAGGATAGTATATTCATACAAAGCACCTTCTCCAACAATGAATCAATCGGCTTACCACACGTCTGTATCTCCATGACGATAACCCCACACTGTCAACACAAGAATACCCCCACACAAAATGTCTTAAATTATAACCTTATTCCGCCCAAAAATAATTTTTTTTGCGAAAGAAAACACCAAAAAAAAAGATTCAGAACCAGAAAACCCATCATGTTTATAATATTAGAAAATAAAAGATCCGCGCTATTATCCCAGACACGAAAATCATACCTCATAAAACTAAACAGAAAGGTAAAAATAATTTGAACTGTTGTATTTCCTTTCAAACAGCGTACGTGGAAGCATATCAATCGTTAATTAAACCTAAAAAATGATGATAAGCATAATCGATAAAGCGAATCCTTACAAAGATTTTATTTTAGTTAACAAAAGGGATATCATCGGGCAGAATCTAAGCAATCGAATTTCAATAAGGAAAGTAAAGAGAAGCAGTAGATAGATTCAGGAGAATTTGATTATTCAAAAGAAAGGATAAAGGATAGAGAACGTACCACTGAAAAATCCTGAGAGATTATGAATTCGGGAAAGGAATCAGAGGAATTGAATGCAAGACGATAAGCAATAAACTCTATCTCGAAGAGATCATAAATCTGTTTCATTAAACCAACCTTTTCCCATGGCTACCAAACCATGACCCAAACCTATGTTCGCATTCAAACTTCACTCGACTCATTTAAATTAAAATAATATTGAAATAATTTTGTAAAGTACTATTAAGGATAATAATGAATTGGGTTAAGGTTAAGTTTTTAGTTAATATGATCCAAAAATATATATCTTCCACTCTAATCTAATTCAACGTAACTCGAAAAATATATATTTTTCATACGACTACGATTTGACTTAAATTTTTAGAGTATAAATCGGTATGAATTGATTTAGTATAAAATAAAGACTTAATTAAAAAATAAAAAAAAATTAAAGAAATTATATTATTATTCTTGGGTCGGGTTGGAGTTTTTTTCACACTCCACCCAAACCGGTCTCACCCCTTAAAAAATCGACTTGACCCTACTTAAACCTGAATTTTTTTTTTTTAAAATAATCCAAAATTAAGTTAAACTATATCATTGATCACTTAACTATTTAATCATTTTACTTTTATCATCGATCTTTTAAATTTATTAAACAGACTACTAAAGTATTTAATTGTTTTCAATCAAGTCACTTGTTGTTAGCATTTAACAGATTAAGTTATGTGAAAGTTAGATGTTTTAGTATAATTACACATTTGGTCATTGTTATTTATACCTTGTTTACATTTCAGTTGGTATCTTTTATCCAAATTAAAATCTTGATGTGTTAGTATGAATCAGGTGATCTTAATAGTTAAAAAATTGTTGTTGTTTTTAAAGATTACGAATTCAAACACCCACACTTATAAAATATTTAAACGTTTATCGTAAAATTCATAACCATAAAATCTTATTTCCAAAATATACGGTAACAGGTTTCCTTCCCAGTTCCAGCAGTAAACCCCAGAACCATATGAAAAACACAAGTCTCATAGTGCAACGGATTAAAATAGACAGCGATCGATAGATCACCACTGCAGCAAGTGATATATATATTCTAGTCTAGTCTAGTCTAGTTAACCAGGGAAGGCTTCAATAATGGAAAGAAAAGAAGGGATGTTGATGATATTGTAATGGGAGAAACCTCCTAGTTTCAGTAGCTTCCTCCATTCATCTTCGCTTCTTTCCTTCCCGCTCGGAGAAATAACCAGCATCTTTAAGTCATACCTATGTGCTTCGACGTCGGAAAGGCTTTTGCTTTCCCGTCGAAGAACCGCTTCCACTATGATCAACTTCCCCTTTTTCTCCTGTAAAGCTTTCCAGCAATTCTTCAGGATCTCCACGCATTTCTCGTCACTCCAGTTGTGTAATATCCACTACATCGATTTAAAGTCAAAATCCGGTTTATATATTATCGGTGTATCAAATATTAATCCGTAACATACATACCTTGAGAAATATTGCATCAGTGTCAATGGGAATGGTGTCAAACATGTTACCTCCGACATGAGTGACATTGGGGTACTTGGGTGCACTAGCCACTACATTTGGAAGATCAAAGTTCAAACCTTTAATGTGAGGATGTGCCTCGACGATCTCGGCCACTGCAGCCCCCGATCCTCCCCCAACATCAACGAGTGTTCCGACATTGTTGAACCCGTCTTTGTAATGCTTAAGAACCGATTTCATAACTACTCTTGTGTTACAGGCCATTGCTTCGTCGAATACTCTTTTGTACTCGTGGTTTCTTGATTGGAATTCGTACAAATTTGAGCCATTGGCTCTCGAAAATCCACACACCCCGCCTTCGGCTATGCTTGTACTCATGCAATTCCATGCAGCCATGGCGCATGGATGCATCGCGAGAAGCAGCGTAGGCACCAGGCTTTCCGACTTATTATCGGTAAGAAGCCATTTCGAGGAATCGGTGAGGCCGTACATCATCTCTCCACTTTCTTTATCGACGGTAGCACTGAAAACCTTCCTGCAAGAAAGAAATCCCATTACACGAGAAAGACGGTCCATGTCGAGGTCCGGAAACGGAAGGCGAGCGGCCAGTTGAGACAGAGTCATCGGATAGCTGCCGCCACCGGGATGCGGGTTTAGTGTATCCGGGATGCCGAGCTCGACGACACACTTGAGAGCCATGCTTTCGATGAAGCTATCCATGATATGAAGTATTTCAGCTTGCCCTCGGGGCGTAGCCCCTTCACCATGATCGACTCTACCATTCGTCCCCTCAGCCATGATTTAATTTGGAATTGCTTGCTAATGCCCTGATCTTCACCTCATTATATAGATATAAAGCGATCAGGCAATAGCTTCATTAAATGATGAGCTCCTATTTGCACATGTTTTTTTTACTTTGATCGCATTGCGTGATTATATTTTTAAATTATTTCCATTTGCAGTATAATAATGAGAGGGACCAATGTGCTGCTATTTTTTCAACAGCTATGTGGCCTTTCTAATAATGGACTGTCTAATACTCTAATTTTTATTTTGCGATATACTATTATACTGTCGTGTTGGCATTAATGGACGGTGGTCAGATCATGCAATAATTTTTATTTTATTATATTGTATATAAATAATAATTAAAGGCATATATCATGATCTTTACTTGATTTTCTCATATTTAACTGCTAATTTCGATTCTTATCAATACACATAAGAGCTGTATATTCATAACATTATGCCTTAATAATAAAGATATTAAAATAAAAAATTATTTTTAATATCTAAATTATTTAAGATTTATTTTAATAATATATATTTTAATTATAAAATTTAAAATCTAAAACTCTCTCTCTCTTAAATCTTAAACTTTATGCATAATTTTTAATTTCAAAACCTTGAAATTTAAGACCCTAGATATTACAGATAATATTAAAATAAACAGTGTAATAGAAACTTACCTAACATACTTTAAGAAATTTCCTAAAATGGATCTTACGTGTATTTTATGCAATGTTTAGTGGAAAATATTTTTCGAAATACGTTTTCTTTATTTTTTTATTGTTTGGTTAAAGTAAAATTAGTTTGTCAATGTAAAACATTTTACTGATCAATAGAATTTTTTCTGTATTTTTTGAAAAATTATTTACAGTCTGATTTTTCGTAAGTCATTTTCTAAACTTTTCACTTCGAATAATAAATACTCAAAATAATTTTATTTTATATATTTAATGTTAATATAATATTTTAATATCATTTTGATCAAATATATTATTCATTAAAATATTTAAAATATATTTATTATATTTTTAGTAATATAAAATATTATATTTTAATTTAATAATTTCTAAAAAAATTATTAACTAGTGAAAAATTATTTATACAACCTTTTTTACGTAACGTAAAATATTTTTCAGATTTTTTCTAAAGTTATAATTAATTTTATTGAAAATATTTTTCGAAAAATACTTTAAAACAAACATACTCTTACCCATGGCCGGGTCTGAGTATTTTTTAACCCGAGGCGAAATAAAAGAAATGGACATCTAATTATATAAAATCTTATAGTTCTAAATTTATAGACATTATATAAAATATTATGGGTCCCCCCTCCTGCCCCAGCTCAGGCCCGACCCTGCAGTCTTACCTAACCTACTTAAAGAAAATTTTCCTAAAACAGATCGTATGCATATTTTATACAATCAAACAGATATTTGTGCAATTGGACAAAATCAAATCTTGTTTTCTCGTGATTATTATAATCACGTCATTAACGCCAAGCCGAAGTAAACCAAACCAAGTCCCCTTCACTTACCTAAATCTGAACCAAATTTAAATTTAGACCCAAAATTTCATATTCGGATTCAAACTTCGTCTTATCCGACTAACTCGTTCAATTCTGGTTAACTCGTTCAAATCTTATTTTTAGGTGATTATTATAATCTTGTAATTAATTTCAAGTCTCTTAATCAAATGAGATAAATTTTACAAAAACCTTTTATAAATTTATGAATCTTGGACCATTTTTCGATAAAATGAATGTCAAAATTAAACTAATGACATCTAAAGGAGGCTGTCATTGAAATTTAAGATTGAACAACCACTAACGATAATGATTAGACGACTACAAAACATCCCCGACCCGAAATCAGAAGAGACTTACGCCTTCTCATAAGTTTGGATAAATTATGATTTTACCCTCTCATCTTTACATTTGTTTTAATATAGTCCTCTTTGCATGTTTTTATTGCTTTCTATCCCTTTGATTTCTGTTTAGTTGAATTGAGTCCTACACTGTTATAGCATCTGGAAATTAGGTTTCATTTTGATAATTCATAATTTTGGACTAATAAATTATAATTCATTTTAATTCGATCCTAATCTTAATGGTAGAGTTAATAATCAAGACCAATAAATTTAGTTTCTTTCAATTAGGTCCTTAGTTCATTAAATTGGTTAATAAACAAGCTTAATACGTTTATTTCTTTCAATTAAATCCTTATCTCATTAAATTAGTTAATAATCAAGCCAGGTTAATTTAGCATCTTTTGATTAGGTCCTAAATTTGGTTAATAAGATTGGCTTTAATATCTTAGTTGATTCTAATTTGACCCTTAATCAATAAATCTGACTTAATTGACCTCAATTCGATTAATCCAATATTTGTAATAAAATTCTAAATCTTGAACACCTAAATATTTTTCAATTCAATTTAAGCATGATTATTACTTGTATGCTATATTTGATCCTCTTGCCACACACAAATAGTGGTGGATTAACCACCTTATATCTTGTCTATTCTGATATTTGAATTTCCTTATGTTAGTTAATTATTTTATTGATTGTGTTCGCTATGAAATTTTTTGCGCTCGCCCATTTTATATTGTTAATATACGTATTCGATTTATAAGCTTGATTGTAAAGCACCTCATCAAGCGATTCTCCAGAAGCAGGGTGAGATTATTAACGCTGCAAGAGTCACTTCAAATATGATGCAAGCTTGAATTGCCTCGTATCATGCTCAAATCATATTTGAATTGCCTCTTGCAGCGTTTGCAATCTAACTCTACTTTTGGAAAATCGCACAACATTCACAATCAAGCTTATAAATCGAAGTAACTTTTACTTCATCATCTACCATCTTTATTCCGTTCCAAAAATGATTACAAACACCAAATACTCTTTTTGTGTTTCTCTTAGCCACTCGTAGTGTACTAGTGTTACACCATTTAGCAGTTCCTCCCTCTTCCAGATGATGATGTTTATCGAGTCTACTATCACAGTTTTGTAAGAGAAATTTTTAGACTGATCGACTCGTTTTCTTGTTGAACAAGTTAGATCAATCTTCGTCACAACTCAACCTAAGGATTGCAGTTTTATATATATATTTTTTGCGATCGCAACTGATATTAATATTTCTTTCGTTCATGTTCAAATATGTACAATTCTCTATAACAGAAAAAAATCGTTAGGAAAAGAACACTTGCCATTATCATCTATCCAAGAACTGATCGTCAACTTTCCGTTCAGCAGTTGATCTCCAACATTCCCTTCAAATAAATGATAAGCTTTGCACCGATCACTTCTTCAATAATTGGCTTTCACTACAAGAAACCTGCACGTATTATTTCCAAAACATCGAACCACAAATAATGTTTATTCTGCTTTCAAATTGTGTGTTTTGTGATGTTGGTATGAAATGGATTTCTTTAGTTCTTTTGATTATGTTGGTATGAAATGGATTTCTTTAGTTCTTTTGATTAATGAACTCAGTTTTATGTATTTTGTAGCTATAAAATACGCTTTGTGTTGTTTTAGATGTTCAACGGTGCCCTACCAAAGTGATGGGAAATGAATTGCAATTTGCTTTTGTTTTTGAGCTGGTCTAAGTTAATGTTAACTCATCCGGCGGATGTTTAGTTTTTGGATTGTGGTCTGCTCAATGATAAATGTTCCTTTTACTTATGATGTAGATTGAAGGGATCAAGGTTCATGCAAACGAAGGTGGAGCAACACAGACACGAGGTGGTTTATACTGGGTGATTTTACCTGCCGGATGTCAGTATTTTCGTCTCAGAACACATCTTTGTTGTCATGGTATGTCTCATGACATAAATGCTAGAAGACTGTAGCGAAGACGTTCTTGTTTTAGTCATGTAACCAGTATATGGATGCATGAGGACATGATTTAAGGCTTTTACGTACAAATATTGAATCATCAGGCTTTGTTTACCTTTTCCCCTATTATAATTGGTTTACCATTCATCTCCATCTTTCATCTCATGCAAGTTGCTTTTCAGTAGCATTTATGGTATACAGTTGCTTTTACTTTCAGATCTTGGCTCACCATTTTGGGGGATGACTCTAATTCTTGCTTCGACAAATCTCCTCACTGCAAGAATAGCTGTTGGTTGTTTTCTTGCCGCTCTCGTTGTTGTGCTCTTTTATTCTAAAAATGTAAGATGTCAAGGAGATTATTTCCTGATAAAAAACAGCATTCATTAGAGAGGTTGCTTTCTTTATTTCCTTCTACAATTTATTTTCTTCAATGAGAACTTTCAAACTTTGAACCTGTGATGTGTACGATTATTCAAACAATGGACACTTCGGGGACTTTGTATCGGTGAGTACCCCTTATAAACTTGTTATGACTTGTAATATTATAACCATGAGTCGAACAATTGAGGTGCTAACAATTTTGTTATCCGCGTATTCGATTCCCCAGGATTTATTATTTTCATTGCACTAATTTGGTTTTTGGAAGAAAGTACAACAGTTCGGATTCTCCACTATGTCATTCTCTTCATTGGCAGAGGCTCTCTTGTTATACTTTCCTTCTCATTTGCAAAGAATAATCTCATTCTCTCATCTCTTACGTGAAAAGAAGTGTTGCTTATTTCTTATTTTGGAAATTGCAGGTGTCATGAACAGTCTGTTTTCAGTCTATGGTATGTCTCAATGTTTCTGCTTCCTCTTGACATTTCTTTCTTTCATTTATTTACTTAAGCCAATTGGTTGTTATTAGAGTTAAGAATCAAGTTTGAAGTGACTTGAATATTATTTTCACAGACATCTACGATGATCTAATATCTCGAAGAGTCAACTCCAGTGACGCGGAGAAGTTTGCAGAAATCTGTCCTTGCCCCTGCAATGGAGTTGGATGGGGATTTATATGGTGGGAAACCGACACTTGAAGGAAGCATCGACTGTTTTCATGGTTATTTCTGTCTAGCCGCTCACATTCTTTTTCGAACACTGCTTGAAGAGGAATGATATCATTCATATTTCTTGGTGCATCAGTGTATCGAGGACTTAT